AAGATTTTACTTGGCGTAACTTATTGATATCATTTCTTTTGTAGAATAGATCCTGTAGAAGAAGATTTTGGTAGCAATACTTTTTCTAGAGATACGAGTTGCGCATGTACTTGGCGTCTTTTTTTACCTTTTTTTGAAAAGGTATAAATAACGTAAATATTAAGAAAGTGCGTAACATTTTCTATTGATTTTTTCGAGACAATCATAGTTTTCATAATATACGGAAGCTGCAATTACAAAAACGTATAATTAATGTATTACTAATTTAATTATTTCTATACGAATCTTTTATAATTTCCGGGAAAATGTTCTTATATATATATTTTGTGAGTAAAGCGGCAATTATTAAATAATGTCTGAGTATATTTGTAATATGCGCATCAAAGCGCACGTTACCGCACAGATTAGCAATCTTATTTTGTAAGTATTACCTAACCGGATGTAATGTAGAAGTAAATGATGTGCGGTTTCTTACGTCAATTTTTTGCGAGTGCACTACTTATTGATCACTAATTATGCAACAAACTTGTAGGTACTTCTTAATAATTGCATAACACGTCACTGAATGTGTCACGTAGTGATAAAACGTTCAAATACAGTTTTTAAATGTTCAGTTTGTTTCAAATGTTTCTTTAAATTCACAAAATTACAGATCTGCTTTACTTTTACTTGCCTGTCGGTGCTAATTAAAAACAAACCACGTAACGAAAGCGAAATTAGCGTAATTAACGCCTGTGAGAATGACATCTTAAAACTGCGCGTAATAACGTTCCTAATAAATGTAATGAACTCGTGTAGAGATTCGTGAGAGAAGTCTGCTCTTTCCACGAGAGATTGCCTTCTCTATTTCTCTCTCTCTCTTTTTCTCTCTCTTTTTCTCTGTCGTTTCATCGAAACTATGTAGCTGGCCTTGTATCGAAAAGAGTGAATTCACATTTACTTGCAGAAATATTGAGCAAGTGTGCGCGGCAATGTGAAATGCAGAAGGTAAAAACCCAAGGTAAAAAAGAGACTAACAAGGATGAAAACGAGCGAAAAAATGTTGGATGCGAAAAATGATTTCATTCTTCACAATGGAAATGTGTACTACACATTTGTATCGCGACGGAGACATTTACTCACGTGCGCTCGACTCGATGTATTACTCCGAGAAAAGTGAAATTTTCGCGATTGCATAAGAGTGCGTAATAATACTAGTACTTTTCACGACGTCATCATATAACGCAATCTAAATGCGCAGCGTAATGTCAATGATCAAGCGTAAGCTCGAGATAAAGCAGTTACGCTTTACGCAGTCATACAAGTTGCGTAAACGCAATATCTTTTTGAATTGTAACGTTTATTTATATCCACAAATAAATAATTTTCTAACATTTTCACCAAATTGATACCGCAATTGTTACAAATAGGTGAAAAAATATAAAAAAACAATGATAATATATTTATTTCTGTATATTGACAAATATACATGTGTATATATTTGTCAAGTTTCATACTTAACGACTCAAATACATGTATTTATTTATCTATTTTCCATAATATCAGTATGTTAAATAAAACAAGAAGAAAGTGATGAACTAAGAATATGTATATCTTATGTTTGTAAAACAAGAAAAAAGAGTGAGGGAGAGAGAATTTTCTCTATTTGAAAGTATTTACTCTGATTTTTATCGGACTGAACAATCACATCATCAAAGCACTTACGTAAATTCGCCTTTTACTTACACAAATCCGTTATACAATAGCGAGAATAATATGTATGTACAATAAAGACTGAGAGGTTAATGCATTGAAGAAAACTAGATCATATTACGTATTACGGACACAGACAAGTGCGTCGACAAATAAAAGATTCCTCTTTCTTTTTTAAATAACTGTATGTATAAAACTCAAAGCGAAGGGAAAGATATTACAGATGACCGAAAGAAACAGCCATTGTGTCTAGTGATGTCATTGCGATCAAACACGTATGTCAACACATATGATAGCGATAACAAATGACTGATCGCTCACCTTTCGCTAATCTAGACAGCCTCTAGATTAGCAAGCTTTTGATCGCGCAACAGGTCAATGCGTTGTTCTTTCTCTCTCGGCACATCCTCCGTGACGGACGTCACGGAATGTCGAACGTACGTCGTCGTGCTCCGAAGCTTCCGACGGATTCGCATGTGCACGCACGTAAGAGAGACAAGCACCGCACTTGGCGTTTTTTTTTTGCGTTACAATCTAATCACTGTGTGTATATTCAGCTTTGTTCTGCTGTTGTTACAAAGTTAGAAGCCGGGTCGCGCGCGACGCGAGCAAGCGCGCGCTCGCTTTCCGTGGACTGAGAGCGCTAAAGTTCGCGGCCAGTCTCCGTCGGACTTTCCCTTTCTTTCGGTTCTTTAGCAGCGGTATAAAGTCACCCGGTTATTACATACGTGAACGTTACCTGTTCGCGCCGCGTAAAAGGATGACGCGTCTACACGCCGATGGCATTGATGTTGTTTGCGCGCGTTCTTTCGATCTCCTTGCTCAAACAAAGAACCCGTCAGCTGGCAAAGAATAATGTAGAATAAATTTGTGCGAACAAAGAAAACGTTAATCAAACGTTTTTTACAACTAAAATTAATTGCTTTAGACATTATCATTTTACAATTAATTTTATATTTCTTGGTTTTGGTTGTCTTCTATGAATTAGTTATAATCTATTAGCTGTGTTATATTTATTATTGATATGTATTCATAGCTTATATTCTCTCTCATTTAATCAAAATTAAAAAAAATTTGTTTAACAATTTAACTAAAACGCTTATTTAATAAAAAATTTGATGCGTGGTGAAAAAGCCAAATAACCGAAAAAAAATCAGTAGCAGATGTATAGGTTGCATAAGTCTGGAAATAATTATGCTCTCTCTTTTCGGACACTGTGATTGCGGTCAAGGTGCAGTTGAGATGAATCTGTATCTATGCCAAAATCTTTATATCTGAAAGAGAATGTCATTCTCAGAAGAATGTTGCCGTTTTAACAAATGCACTTATATTTGAAATATATATGTTTTTGCAACGACATTGAAAAAATTGAATGTTAATTATAAATGCAATTTGCAACGTGTCCGTACCATGACCGTCGTACGTAATCTTCCAAAAATGTCGGATACTTTTACCTTATCATACGATGCCCCATACATATACATATACAGGGTGTTTCAGAACTATGGGATCAAACTTCTAGGGGTTATTCAGTGCAACAGTAGAAAACATTTGAGTATAGGGAC